GAACAGACATGGACAGGTCTGATCATACATGAATAGGCCTGATCATACATGAACAGGCCTGATCATACCTGAACAGGCCTGATCAGGTCGGATTTCAGGTCTGATCAGATATGAACAGGTCTGATCAGTCCTGAACATTTTTTCCCGGGTAGTTTTAATTTAACTTGGTAATAATTTCTTTTTAATTTATATTTTTTTCAAAAATAATAATAATTTTATGATATTAAATATTTAAACTAAAATGTAAATATTTTACTATTTATTATATTTAGGTATCTTTTTATTGAGTTCATAATTTTTTAATATAGATTTTTTAATTTAGACTCAAGGTAGTCCACGAAAAGCATATTTTAAAAAACTTATGGAATTTTTTTTATCGAAACATTGAGATTTAAACAAGGGCAATTATAGTAATAATACGCTTTTAAATTCCTTGAGTTAGAATGATTTAAAATATACTATATCATGAATTATAAATTAAGATCTAAAATTCCTTAAGATTCATAATTCCATAATAAATTTCATTATTAATATATTTATCTTTCGATAAAAAAATTCCATAAGTTTCTTTAAATATGCTTTTCGTGGAGGTGCTACCTTAATCATTTTGTTTATCGAATTTAGTAATTCTATCCATATCTTTTAAAATGTATATTATAGACCATTTTAGTAATTTTCCGGAATTTTATTGGAAACAAAATCTAGTTTTGTACTTCAATATTCGTAACTCTTTTAATTCATGGAATTAATATTCTTTTAAAAAAAATATTAATTAAAAAGATATTAGTAGTTAAGTAAGGGGGGTTTTGGAGCAAATCGTTAAGAGAGTGTTCTGCATTACCGACTCAGGGTAATCGCTCAGATGGTATTTTGTAGTTTCTTCTTTATCGATGGTAGGTTTTCGGGTGATAACTTTCCGACGTATTGGTTACCGACTGGTCATTATAGAGGTAGTGGTCGGTAACTGGAATTCGTTATTATTGATTTGAATGAGCGCCCATATGATCGATGATTTTGTAACAATCTTTAATTGGAATAAACAATTATGTAATTGTTTGAAAAAGTTTGAATTTGTTTGAAAAAGTTTGAATTTGTTTGAAAAAGTTTGAATTTGTTTGAAAGTTCTTGGATATTCTCGAATGTTCTCGAAAGTTCTTGAATATTCTCGAATGTTCTCCAACGTTCTTGAATATTCTCGAATTTTCTGGAATATTATGGAAGGTTTGGTGAGTAGAGGGGCAGATTCAAACCAGTTTTTTACCAATCACAGTGGAGGTTTTAAGTTTTAGTTTCCCACTTTTTTATTTGCTCATAAGTGGGGAATCTATTATATAAATAAGCCCTCCAAGCCCAATCTAGCATAGTTCTCATTATGGTTGATTTTGGACAGTTGTTCGAGCAGTTATTTCAGCAGTTTACTTCGGAAATTTTGGATGGATCAACAGACCATACTATAGAAGTACTTGTGATTTTAGAAAAAGTTTATAGACTATTAAATCAAATCGAAAAAGTATGCAAGTTGGAACAGCGTATGACAACTAAGTGAAAGTATACATTCAATTACACACATACACACACACACACACACACACACACACACACACACACACACACACACACACACACACACACACACACACACACACACACACACACAATGGAGATAATAGTAGACTTTATAGGATTCGAAAAACCGAACGGTGACTTTGTTGTGAAAGAACTTTGTGTCATTGATGTGTCAAGTGAAATCCTACATACTGCCGCATACGCATGTAAATACTATGTTTTCAAACCAACAATGTATGATACTCAAGCTGTTCTTATGAATGAATGTATCGATTACCAAGGAAATAAGCATGGAATCTTATGGGATGCAGGCGATATACCATATGAAACTATGGGAGATATGATTGAGTCCTTGCTCAAAAAAGCGAGAACTGTTTACGTTCAAGGTGTAAAGAAGCATCACTGGCTCAACATGATAACAGAACTTAGGACTCCAATTATTGATCTTGAGAAAATGCGTCTTTACTCAACCGAAGCTATTGATCATTATCCTAAACTTCGATGTCCTGGACGTCATTTTCATAGTAATGTGTTTGAATCCCAATATGCATGCGCTTTTCAAAATGCTCAGCGACTCAAATGTTGGTTCATTGAATATTGGGGTGAAGGAACTTCATATGATAAATCAGTTGAATTATTTCATCACTTGGAGCATTTATCGAGAATGGATGCTGCTGACCTTGCATGCTTGGATGCAAAGTTTTTACTTCAATTTGCATCAAAACAAATAAGACTTGTTTAGAATAAGTTACCTTTACACTTAAAGATCAATAATCAAATTATAGATCATCAATTTTGTCGTGAACACTATCTTCCCGATAAAGACAATGAGGATACCTGCGGCATATGGCTCTATCCAATTAGGAAAAATTGCTACGAGAGTCGACGTAAAAGATAATAATAATAATTATAATTATAAATATATAATATTATAAATAAATAAATGAATAAATACTCATAAAATAATTTCAATTTGTTTTTTATTTCTTATTTTTTCCACATTACAAATATTCATGATAATTTTCTAACATTATTACTTAATGGGTTATATTCGATAATACGATCATGCAATACCAAACAATAGGCTGCTGTTTGATCAGGAAACTGCTCGCTCGATTCAAATTCAATTTGAATATCAACTGGACCTGATTTTATCGACTCGTTTTGTTTTGAACAGTCGATAATGTAGAGTGGTGCATCTTCCAAAAATTTCTGTTTTGTTAATAAAGGTTCTGGATCTTTGCCATAGTATGAAGTTTGAAAATTTGTGTACATATCATATATTAAAGCATACTGATTTCGACTAATATTAAGATTTAAATTACCATATGGATAACTTTGAGAATTAAGAAATAGTTTCACATCTCTAATATTACAATGATCAAATCTGCTTGCATCCTTCGTTGAAGCATTCTTCCTTGCTGTTTGAAATCCTAGGATCACATATCGTGGTTTTTCTAATTGAGTCGAAGTCTTAATAGGCCAAACATGTTTGGTGGTTGTTGGTAGCATCGGATACTCAAACAATTGCCATGTTCGAAAACTTAATGGAATGGCTAGATCATTGGCTATGAAGTTGAGTGCTTGAATTTTTTGCTTATCAGACATTGATACATAGGGAACATTCCATTCAACTTTATTAAGTATAATTTTCACATTATCAGCTACAACTTGTGCATTAGGAGGCTTATTTATAAATGCATTAGCATCAGTATTTGATCTTATGAGTATCAATTCATGCTTAGCATTAATGATAATTCGATTATAATCGTCAGCAAATCCTAACAAAAAACTCAACGGTAAAGATATATCAAAATATCCATTTCTATCAGCCAATTTGCTATTAGTTTTTGTTAGCCAACCAGCATTTTCCATAACATTTTCTCGTCCTGGGCTCAAAAAAATAAAATTTTTCATGAGAGTTGTAATTCCCACGTTTTTACATCTATCGATTTCAACTGCGTTTAGCTCATAACATATTTCTTCAAACATATGACAAATAGCCATGTTGACTAATTCCATAGTCTCAGAAACAGCTGTATTATTTTCTTTGACCAATCTCCCACTAATATGTAATGAACTTTTACGTGGTAAAATGCACAAGTCTTGATGCTGGATACTGATTCTAATTTCATCACTATTATTTAATGTTGTTGATGAATAAGGTAGATGTGAATGCACTTCATAATGTTGTTATGTTCAAGGGCGTTTTTAGAGTGGTAGCATAAACGGTGGAGGTTTGGACGAACAGTTTAAAGAATACGCAACGGAGGTTTTAATTCCGTCGTTTAATTATTTATGTGGGACGTTTTCGATGTACGAATTTACCACGCCTTCGTTTGAGACTGATTATGGATTTTGTTGAGAATAGATGTACTTACTCTATGCAGGATTTTTAATTATTACCGGATCCGTGATTCTGGGGCTGCTGTTAGCGCCTTTTCCTGGATTGGGCCCTCTGGTTGGTCCTTGCAGCGGATGGATTTGGATGGAATGGGGCTGCTCATTTAACGGCCTTCTTATTTTTGTGAAATGAACTGATTTAAACTGATTTCACTTTTATTTAGATTTATTGAATTAACACCAAAACTTTTACACTTTTACAAATTTTATTTTGACGTAATTTAATTTAATGAATTTTATTAATTTGATTGAGCTTACGTCCTCCAGTCCCCCGTAGGGTAAAGTGCGCAAAACTAGCTAAAAAAAATGAATTTTGAATAAACTTAATGACCGAATTCTCGCCTAAGTGCAGAGCAAATTAGAACTTTGAGAATTCCGGTTTTCTAATACTTAAAATTAATACGTGGCCTGCCGGTTTAACCGCGTCCAACTTCCTCTAAGTGCAGGGCAAATTAAAGCAAAGGACTCTACAAGGCACGGGCCCGTCAACTAAACGCGGAAGTCGAATTAATTAACAAAGACAAGGCGTTGGCTGTTGATCGCCTTTTTAAATACTCGCGGTGCTGAGTTTGCAGAAGTCCCCGCTAGTCAACCAGCAGTCACGTAGCTTATATTTTACTGTGGCTTTCGCGCATGGAGAAGTCTTCCATCTGCGCGGCTGATTTGAATTTAAAAGGAAAAAAAATTGCGGGTGGACATAACATTCCCCCGGAAAAGCGAGAAGCTAGTATAGGTTTTCGGTTTTCCTATGGCCACCTTCCCTATAAGCGAAAGCCACTTACAAAAATATTTTGTTTAATAATATATTCTTAACTTAGTAGAAGAGTAGTGAGAAAAGTCATCTGGCGCGAATATTTAAATTTAAAATTATATTCTAATCTCGCGCAACATTTTATGCTGACAGATAGCTAATCGTTCTCGCTTCTTGATTTCGCGCAGCCGTGTCGTGTGTCAGTATTCTTTCTGCAATGAGCGATCTAAGTTCAAGTTTTCATAAAAAGATTTTGTTGCACGAGTTATAATTTTCCGAAATGTATCCAATTAGCAAGAATTTCGAAGGGTATGGTACTTGGTACCAGATGGTTTTGCGTATTTACGGCGAAAAGGTAAGCCCGAGTTTGATATATATATGTATTAGAAGGAAAGAAAGAGATAAGAAAGAGAGATATGGGCAACATAATAAATTTTATTATCAATCAAAAATATTGACAAAAATCTTTCTCTCCCCTCCTTTTTTTTTGCATTCTTTATTGTTATTATTTTAATTTTCTGTATTATTATTTATAAATTTTGTGTGTTAGGATATAAGGTCGGGTATCCACATCCTGAAGGCTTTGGCACGCCGGATCAATCCGGCAAGGGGGCTGCGTTTGGCGTCTCGCCTCATGAATCTTTTTGGCCCACTTCCCCCAGAAGTTTTGGAGGCCGTGACCTTCTTTTGCCTTCAAGGCATAGAGCTTGTCTCGGAGCCTTGGGAGTTCGATGCCGTGATTGCTCCTAATAGTGAAGATTTGGAGATTTTGGGAGTTGCCTTAATGGAGGCGGTGTTCAACGGCTTGGTCACTATGTCCTAGTGGTAAGTTATCAGAGATTTAGGGCTAATTGGAGTTATTTCGATTGTTTTTTTTTTATATATATAAAAAATTTATTTTAAGAATTTTTTTTTATAATCTTGTCTTCTTTTGTTGCAGACTAGGCGTATCAGATGTTGCTGGATGGCTGACTGATGACGTGAGTGCTATGCCGTCTCAGCACTTCTGGTGTTATGGATTCCGTAGGTGTTTATTAGAGAGAGAAAAAAGGATTTATTATCTTTTGTTTTTCAATAAAAAAAAATATATGACAATTTTTTTTCTTTCTTTGTTTTTGTAATTTCCCATACCCCTTTTCCTATTTCTTAAATAGTTTTATTTAGAAATAGGGTATTTAATAAGATAGAAGCAATAATAATAATATTTATGGAAAAAGGTAAGTTAAGATTTGTTTAATGATTAGATTATTTGATTTATAATCAATGATTTGTAATTAGATAATCTTTAAAGTTGATAGAGGAAGAGGAAAAATTTTGTAATGTGAGCAATTCGAAGCGTGAGGTGTATGTATGTTTGTTTATATCAAAAAAAAATTTGTTTCTATCGACTATGTGTAAGTATATAAGATGTAAGAGGTGACACGACTGTGGTGCGGTGGATGTGGCTGTTCGCGAGACGATTGTAATTGAGCGAGCGTCGGTAAGCTTCTTTTCTTTGCTTAGCGGTTCTTTTATAATTGTCGTTAGATGACTCTCTCGGTTCTCTTAATTACTTATACTTACTCTTATTGAATATTAAATGTTCGAAATAAGAAAAGAGATACAAATTTTTATGATTTTATAATTTAGTTCGAAAATTTATAGGAGTGACGTTGGCTCGATTTTTTTTTTTTTTATTTATAGACTATGTGACTCGCTTATAACTTTTGAACTACTTAACCGATCAGAACCAACTAAACGGCGTTCTAAAGAGTTCTCTCGAACTCAGATTTCCTGAGAATTTGAACCGATTTGGACAGATAGATTTTAAGAAATCTTGAATAATCTCAAAAAAAAAAGAAAAAAATCATTTTTGAAAGTGGTTTTTTAGGAAAATCTTCTAAACGGCTCTATCGATCAACTTCAAAAACTAATCCGCCCTTGAGCTTGAAAAACCACGCCGATCGTCGCTAATCCGGTCGAAATCGGTTGATTCGTTCGAGAGATATCGTGAACGAAAGAAAACCGAAAAAAGTGTTTTTTCGGGATTACTCCGAAGTTTTTGGCTCGATCAATGAAAACCTGATAATATTTTATAAGGATGATAAAACTGCGTCAAATGCCGCCAACCGCTTGAAAATTGGTTGATCCATTCAAAAGTTATTGCGGTTTGAAAATTAAAAAAATAGGGTTCTATGAAACTTCTATCAGACTTTTGACTTTTGAGCTAGGAGAGCTCAATCGCATAGAAATATTATTTCTTTGAACTCAGTGAGCTCAAAATATCACATGAATTATATTTTGAGCTCAAAAATCTTTAAAATTTCATAAGTACAATTTTAAGCGCCCAGGAATGGAAATAACGGGAAGTTGCACGGATGGCCTTTAGGGTGAACCGTTTTTCTAATTTTTTTTAATCACAAAAACTGCTTCCTGATTGGATACAGTTTTCCCCCAAGAAAACAATGTCTAACCTGAATCATCGAGAACATAAAAGGGCCTTGTTCGACCAAAAACCGGCAGTCCTCCAAAAGTTTGTTACGGCCTCCCGTAATTTGGATAGGTTCTTCTTCTGTTAATAACCTTCTGCCATCTCTCTTCCACACTTATTTACCCCTACTCCGGGACTTTAACCTATGTCGTACTGTTCAACCAACTTAACATCAATCTGATACACCTTTTCTTTGATAAATAATCATATGCCGTGTAACGGAGTGATCGTTACTCGGTAAATCCCTTTAGTTCGGTACCCAGTTATTTATCGACGGCTCACAGTGCGCTGTGATCTAAAGCTCGTTTAGAGCTAGTATGAAAGGCCCCAAGGTGGAGAAGCCGGCGTAGTGGTAGTGGGGAGAGCAGAGGAAGCAAGTAAGGTTGAACAAAATTCGGTAAGACTCATTGTGACTGAGTGGCTCGACTGGACGACACGCAAATTTTCCTAAAACATCCAGCTAAGGTAATTTTTTTTATTCTGCTTATCCAACGTGGAACGAAGCGATAACATTTTGTTAATTTAATGCTTGCTAGGCCTAACCCCAGCTTGGTTAGATTAACTTTAATTTGTTATAAATTCTAATGCTGAATTGCGGTTACAGGCGTAATAAATTCCCAGAGAGCGAGTGATGGTGACGAGAGCTTGCCGCCAAATTGAGAATACCTGACCGAGGGAAAATCTACACCAGTACCCGAAGACGAGGAGTTGCAGCTCGTCGTTGGAGTGCAGATAAAGTTATAAGAATACTCTAGGTACAAATAACGAGTCTTAATTATTCTTCGGGTCTGCGGCATCAGCCAGGCAACACGTCGGCTGAAGGTCACCGCCATTCCGTGCTCAGTCACAATCGTTAGTTTATTTTAAGTGTCGTTATAAATAGTTTAATTAAGTATTAAATTTAGTATCAGATTTAACATTTCAAATTGGACAAATTATAAAACAATTAATTAATAATACCAGGACAGGTTTCGGGTTATTGATTAATTTGTTAGGGAAATTAACTTGTCTTTGTCATTACTAATTTCATACGTAGGCCTGTCTGGGTCAATAATACTAGGCATTAGTTCGGGTTATTAATTCCAGATTTTTACGCCATGTGTAAAATTTATTTACTTTAAAAATGGCAATAGTTCACCAGATGCGAGGTAATTTCTTGATTATGTATCTAAAGATAGAGCATTTTCGAATGCAGCCTTAATTCTTATCATAATAAACACTATTGACTATTGGTGAGAATGATATGAAACCTTGAAAAGGCACAACTCTAGGTCAAGACCTTTCTAATGATACCAAACTCAACCATATAAACCCATTTTATCATATAAATGCACTGGCCACGAAATTTTTTTTATTCTCTTAATAATATAGATTATTCTTATTATGATAATTATTATTGCTATTTTAAGGGAGGGGTCTGGGTTTCCGCGTAAAAAAAAACACTTTTTTTGTGATTTTTTATCTCAAATATCGATTGAGCAATTTTATTCAAACCTTCTATACATTATTGAGCATAGTTTTGACTATGTTCTATAAATTTTTCATGCAAAAATATTAAACCATTAGCCCGTGACAGAGCTTTCCCCAGGACGTCTTGAAAAGAAAACAATTTGCGGTGTTCACTGTAACTCGGCTGGAAATTATCTGAAAATGAAAAACCATAAAAATTTAGTTAAATTATAAACAAATCTTCCCCCCAACGTTCTCTAATTATTTTTTTTTTAATTTAAAAATTTTTGGCGGTCATCTAAAGTGTGAACCGTTATTTTCGACTAAAATTTTTGCCATTTTGTGGGTGGGAAACACCCTTAATGTTAAAAAAAAATTTTTTACTAAACGTAGGGTGGAGGTATTTTACATGAAAAAAATTATTACGAAATTTGAAATGAATCGGTCGAGTAGTTTTCAAATGGCAGTGATCACGGTCTTCGAAAAAGTAGTTTTGAGAAAAACGCGTTTAAAATTTGTGAAGCAAAATAGTGAAGAAAAAAAATTATTTTTTAAACTTACACAGAATCATCAATTCCAGCTCTATACAGCACACATCCTTCAGCATTGTCGATGTCTTCAGCCTGTTTTTTTTCAAGTCTTCGTTTTATTCTGGCTTCTTTGCTCTGCTGCACAGCTTGGAACTCGGCCCTATCAATGCGATTGCTGTCCGTAGATGATACATACTCGTGAGCGCTTGGGCCGACACTGACGTCCATGTCAGACAGAAAAGTTAGAAGAGCACCAGCACCTTCATTGAATGTGCATGCAGCTACATAAGATGCAAATTTCACAATTTGTCTGCTGCCAGATAATTTTTTCGGTGCAATTCTCCAAATCAGCTGGTTCAAACTTTCGTTGGCATTTTGAGTAAAACCTCCAAGACACCTTTCTAGAAGTTTGTCTTTACTCAAATCTTCATAAATCGGTTTGATCGCTTCTATGACTTCTTGTGGAAGTGGAGTGTAGTCATGATTAAAATTTTCCACTCCTGTTGTGGCCAAAGCTTTTTGATACGAACACCACGAGTTCTCACTGCTCATGCACTTATGGTGTTGAGGATAATCGTCTGTTGACTGCTGGTGGTAGAACGTTGCCCAGACTGCATTTTTCATTCCTTCTAAAGAATCACAATTATGTCTGATTGCTGCTCCGTAGTATCGACTCAAATTATCAATGACTTTTCCAGTGAGCTTTCCTTTGCCACCGAGTAATTTAATTTGTCTTGTTTTACCAGCATTTTTTCCGGTTTTTACAACTGTTTGTTCAACAGTTCTATTTACTAGATCACGCAGACGTTTACCCATTCTTTTTTGCACGTGACCTACACATTCTTTTTTATTTATAATAAAATTTTCACCATAAGGTTTAGCTTTTACTAAATTGCCGTAAGTTTTACTATCTCCGTCTCCAACATAGTTGCTGATTTTCGCTCCGTATTTTTCTTCTGATCGGCGAAACATTTCGATGACAGCATTTACTTCCATGTTACCTGATGGTCCGGTGTGATTAGCTTGGCATTCATCTTCTCCAACATGTTCTTCGTACCAATCTTTAAATTCATCAGTATTTAATTGATTTCTCCATAATTTGCAAGCCTGGCAGTGCGAACTACTTACGAAAATATCTATAGCTTTTCCAGACCAATATCCAATCAAGGAAGTGACGCCAAAGGAAGAGCTAAAGCCTTGCTTCTGCCACGTGCCGTCACCAGAAACGGTCAAAGTATCTGACTCCGAATTTGCACGTGTTAGCTGTTTTTCTTCGTCTGCGGCGGAGACAAGAAATTTCTCAGCAGTCGTTTCGATGCTGCAGCAAATAGATTTCGTGAGATCCAAATAAGATTGTTTTGATAGAAAACTACT